ATCAATCATTGCAGACAAAACAAACTCTGGGAGTAAGGTAAACCCTACACTGTTGTCAACGTTGATTGAAGGAGTCGTGAGGCGAAGCTCAACAGCTTTGACAATAGCATAGATAAAGAAATATTCTTTTTAAAAGAAGTGAGAGCATTAAGATCCCCAGCGCGCTAACTTCAAGGCCAACAAGCGTGATTAATATATGTTGTAATAACGTGTTTCATAATTGATTTGAAATAAATACAGTTTATTCATTTATGAATGTGATAATCGACTTGTTTTATAAAATGTATGTTTCATTTACAGGATTGGTAGTCGGTGATTGTCCAAGTGGATGGATTGATCATCGTGACTCCTGTTACTTTTTCAGTAACCATAATAGAAACTGGTACGACGCAGGGGTAAGTTTTATAGTTAATGATGTATGCTACCTTACTTTGTTTGTCCCCTCCTGGTCTTAAAGATTTCCATACCAGAAATACATATTTGAATAGTTTATACAACATATACAATGCAGAAAGAATGTATGCATTAATTATATTCAATTTGATATGAGCATTTATTAAAAGAAATAACCCTAACACGAGTCACATATAGTAAAAAAAAAAGAATTTAAAGAAAAAAGAATGTTTTCAAAAACTGTTCTTTTCAATTTCATTGCATTTTCATTGGGTGCGTTGCGATAATTTAGCTGGATATTATTAAATCATTGTGATCAAATGCTTGTTGTTTCGTAGCCACTACCCCAGTTCTCACTTTAGGACTTGACATTAATTGAATTTAACCTAGAATAACGTGGCAGGTTTCACGACCCGTTAGATCTAGAGTTCCAAATCGACGTTTTTTTGATAATTATGAAGTTTTATACGTCTGCCTCATCTTCTTGCATTATTTATACACATGTTGTCAGCATCATTAGATAACTGGTATGCAACTAAAGTCTGTAAGTCACTTTATTTCGACGTGCCTGAAAAATGTTGAAATGATACTGTATGCCTATTTTCAAATATCAAACAGTTCACGTGCGAGGCCATTCACAGCAGGAGAGTGACCATAGACTCGAACGACGAAAATGACTTTTTGGCGGGAACTTTTACACACTTCAGAGGTCAGTCTAATATTTAATGATATCTATTTTATATTCATGGCATTCGAACAAGCATTGCATTTATCACAAATGATCATCATTTATTTTTTTATTTCGCAAATATGGCTCACCGGCATGATCAGTCATGAACACCAGGCGAAGTAATAATGCATGTATATTCTAATATTTGGTGAACGGAAAACACGTAATTTTGTTTTAAGCACTGAACAGCTTTTAGCTGGCATTCATAGTCAATATAAATGCAAGCTGGAACGTGCAAATTCAACATGAAGTTCTAGCTGTATATTATTTCTAAACCTGTCATTAATGCATTCCTCTGATTTTATCATCAACTTTAAGTGAACAAGGGAAGTCAGAAATACACGATGATAAACACCTTGCTACATGATGCAAAAATATGTTTTTTTCTTTGAGGCCAGGATGTATTTGAGGACAACACTGAGGTCATTCAAAATTCNAATATCTTTAAGGCCAGGATGTATTTGAGGACAACACTAACGTCATTCAAAATTCGTCAACATAAGGTTTCCAGTTGTTCGCAATTGACGCAGTTAAAGCTAATTTAGTTAGCAGCTGCATTTAACAAAGGCGTATTTAGTGAGAGTTCCAATGTTTCCCATGTTTTAATGTTAACAAAGCACGTATACATGTAAAGATTAAACAAAGACATTATCTTGCCTAGAATATATCATAAACTTAAATTAATATTTTCCTGATTTTTTCCCCCACAAAACTATAAATCAGTGACTTACATTTATTACCGCACCCGCCTGAAGGATAGGTGAGCTTATCACTTGACACGGCGTCTGTTGTCCGTCCGTCGGTCTTCTTCTGAACTGCTCAATAGAATTTCACTTTTTGATCGGAAACATCATTTTGTGGTGGGGATTAAAAGTGGTAAAAATCGAGGGACTGATCGCATTGGCTGTGGGGCGGGGCCGCAAATTTTAAAATAATTAAGTACGTACTTTGCTTGCTTGGCATAATTTGGTTTGGTTCAATTTTGTTTGACGTCCTATTAATAGCTAAGGTCATTTAAGGACGTGCCGTCATGTGTGTAGTGTATGCGTGCTTGCGTGTGTGTATTCAGGAGACAGGGTATGTTGGTTGCTTGCCTCCTTGTGATAGCGAGGATCTGATGCCGACTTGATAGTGTTATCTCACTGAAATGCCATGCCGTAGGCACCAAACACAGCATTCCGCCCAGTCACAACGGGTGAACAAGTTGTTGCCATACCCCTTAATGCTGAACGTTAAGCAGGGAATGGCAACTACTATTATTAAGGACTTCGATATGTCCCGGCCAGGGGACAGAACCTTCTAGCCGTAAGAGAGGCGATGCCAAGCAAGGCGGTAGGAAATAAAAGGTAGTTAGAAGTATAAAGAACGATATAGATCCCAAATATTGCAATTGGCACAGCAGATTTATTTTAGTCGCTTTTGTGCCCCAAATAGAGAACACCAAAGCAAATCCGCAATTCTGCAGGGGGTTCCCGCATTAGTCGCTTCCTACGAAACATGCAGCGGGTACCAGCAGGTCTATTTCCCGATCCCCCACCTGCAGGGGATTGCTTGCCATGAAGAAAATAAAAAAAATAAAACGCTGTTCATGATAGGCTCCGATTCCTGTTCTCCAAATGAAGATTTGTTCCCTCTGACGCAATATGAAAACGTTTGACATGTTTTCTTATTAAATGTGTGTTTACTTTCTGAGCAGATAGATATATATACATTTTTTCTGTGATGTACGTCATATCTCGAAGATTAATGTCACGTCGGCACTGCAGGGTCGCCAAGGTGATGTGTGCATCTGTTTTATCATCAGTTCTGTGAACAAGTTCCCGCGATGAAAAACAGTATAACCTGTCTAAACTGGCCTCTGCCAATCCGTATCCCTGTCTAAACCGGCTGTGATTTGTGGTCCCGGCATATTCCCTATATAATCATAGTAGTTAATCCCTGTTCATTCCATGTAGTACATGCTGTGAATATTTTCCAAGTAGAAGCATGAAATTGAAGTGTTATATAAAGAGTAAGTTTATAAACATATTTCTAGATCCGAAGTTTTAAAGAGCATTACAATGGCTATTATAAATATCTGACGGTACAAAATACGGGATTTCCGTTTAAGGATGCGACGTTACACACGAAAGGGCCCATACTGGTGGGTAAGTCGAGCTAATTCAGCACTGCTGCCGCGTGACACACGGGTCTCGTGGCCATTGTCTTGTTGTTATATATGCTCTTTTCACAGTTAACAGGTGAGTAGATAATGCTGTGAATAACAGTTTTCTGTCATCACACGTCACCCACGCCATGTCATCCTGTCAAACTAAGGAATTTGATAAACAATGATCTAAGACACGATAATATCAATCATTGCAGACAAAACAAACTCTGGGAGTAAGGTTAACCCTGCACCTCTGTCGGCGTTGATTGAAGTAGTCGTGAGGCGAAGCTCAACAGCTTTGACAATAGCATAAATAAAGAAATCTTTTTTTTAAAAGAAGTGAGAGCATTAAGATCCCCAGCGCGCTAACATCAAGGCCAACTAGAGTGATTAATATATGTTGTAATAACTTGTTTCATAATTGATTTAAAATAAATAAAGTTTATTCATTTATGAATGTGATAATCGACTTGTTTTATAAAATGTATGTTTCATTTACAGGATTGGTAGTCGGTGATTGTCCAAGTGGTTGGATTGGTCATCGTGACTCCTGTTACTTTTTCAGTAACCATAATAGAAACTGGTACGACGCAGGGGTAAGTTTTATAGTTAATGATGTATGCTACCTTACTTTACTAGGCTCCGATTCCTGTTCTCCAAATGAAGATTTGTTCCCTCTGACGCAATATGAAAACGTTTGACATGTCTTCTTATTAAATGTGTGTATACGTTCTGAGCAGATATATATATATATACATGCTACTAATATTGGACTCGGGGCCCAGTCCTGATCCTGATTCACAGCTCCTGTAACATTGAAACGTCTATGTAGACTTATTTGCAGAATTGCTTCTAGTGAGAATATTTTGTCATGATTGCTAAAATAGTCTGTTGAGCGAAACACTCTTTAGGGTTTCGAAGTGTTTGGTTCTTCGCAATGTTGTTATTACTCTTGATATAGATCCCAGGGTGTTTTTCTGGGGTAAACCCCCTAGAAATAGTTAAGTTTTTAAGAAGACGGTTGCCTGGGTAGACACTGCCAAAACATGAATGTAGGGAAGTCAGAAAAGGAAAGATTTAGATCCCAAATCTTACAATGCGGGCAGTAAATCAGTTTTGTTTCTTCCATGTCCTCTTAGCAGAAGCAATCCACCATTCTTTAGGGGCCCTGCAGATTTAAACTTCAACTGGTATGTGTTTTAATTATTAACCTGTTTCCATTGTTTTAACTGATCATCCTGAAAAGTATATGCACATCGTAATAAACATGTGTTTTAACTGATTATATTGGATACATACAGGGGCGTTTCGTTCGGATTCGTTTTGGACTGAAGGAACGTCAGAGGGGTCGTCCGATGGTAGCTATAAATGGGCCACATCACAGGACCCGGTCACCTACAACAATTGGAGTAAAAAATGAACCTAACGCCACTATCGGCGACTGCTTCATATTGAGACTTGATCGGACCTGGCAGTCAAGAGACTGTCACTCTGATAAAGGATTCGTCTGCGAAAGCAGGTAAGTTTACATCGAGATTGATAGATAAATGTAGCAGCAGAGAAATCAGGAAATATAGTGATTGTTAGATAAATGTAACAGCAGAGAAATCAGGTATGTTTATATAGAGATTGATATATGAATATAGCAGCAGAGAAATCAGATATGTTTATATAGATATTGATAGATAAATATAGCAGCAGAGAAATCATTTATGTTTATATAGAGATTGATAGATAAATATAGCAGCAGATAAATCAGGTTTAATAGAGATTAATAGATAAATATAGCCGCAGAGAAATCAAGTATGTATATAGAGACGGATAGATAAATATAGCAAAGAAATCATGTGTGTTTATATTGGGATTGATAGATAAATATAGTAGAGAAATCAGGTATGATTATATAGAGATTGATAGATAAATACAG